AGAGGCCATTCTTTGTCTGCACACAAAACCTTTGTCAGGTCTGTCGGCATTCCCTTTGATGGTACTAAGGTCAAGTTGACAGCAGCAGGATGACCTGAAAGTCAGAGCCCATCAGCAAGGACATTGGCTAAGAAAAGAGGGGCCAGCCTTGTCTATACTGGCCAGAATCCCCGTGCCATCTGCAAAGCAGGGTGACATTTTCCTGACTTCTCAACAGGAAGCCCATCTCACAGCAGCTTGGAATGTCCCTCATTCTGGGACAAATTTCAAAAAACAAAACAAAACAAGCAAAGAAAAAAATCAAAAGTGCAGAATATCATGAATTTGCTTAATTAATCTAATTACTTCCCTGGAAACACTTCAAACTCCAAGTATTAGTTCTTACACTGGATAGAAAAGCAGAAAACTTTTCCTTATTTCTTTAGAAAGAAACATAAATAGTTATTAGTAATGTTTCCTATCTTCATTTCCTTTATTAATTAAAAAGAGAGAGAGATTTATTAAACACCTAATTGGGTTTTAGAACCATGACAAGATACCACACAAACTCCCTGCCCTTATGGGACTGAGAGTCCAGTGGGAGAAGAGTGACAGCAAACAAGCAAAGGAGGATATAGTGGACTGGAAGGTGATAAGTGCTGGAGAAAAGTCAGGAAGGCAGAGAGTGTTGAGGTTTAAGGAGGCTGGGGAAGGCCTCGCCCAGGTCAAATCTGTGTGAGGTTCTAAGGGAGGGGGATAAACACTTGGAATGTCTGAGCTAACAGCGTGCCAGGCAAAGGAAAGAGACAAATGAGGGTCATGAGTCTGCTAGAATGTTTCAGGAACAGCAAGAAGGCCAGAGGACTGAAGAGAGGAGAGGAGAGGTTGGGCAGCGATGAAGACCAGATTGTTGGAGGCTCTTGCCATTAGAGGACATCAAACTCTGATTTTGCCACACCTGCTTTTATGTTCACAGGCAAAGCCAAACAGCTCCAATGAAGGCTGGTCTGAGGTGAGGTAGAAAAAGTGAAATGATGAGGTGGGTGTGGTGACACACGCCTGCAATCCCAGAGGTCAAGAAGCTGAGACAGGAAAAGACTGAGTTTGAGGCCAGCCTGGGCTTCATCGTGAGTTCAAAGACAGCCTGGACTATGTAGTGAGACCCTTCTCAAAGAAACCAAACAAACTTAAAGTGAAATAACTAAAAACATCAATCAAATGTGGTGGAGAACAGGCTAAGTGTCAGATTTATATTTGTGAATTCAACAACCGTGTGCCATAGGCATCCAGGAACAGCAAGATACAATTCCTGCCTCACAGAATTTATAGTCTCCCAGAAGATACATCCATAAGGCAGACTACTGTCTGGTTAAAGACAAAATGGCAACATTTTGATATGGGCTAACAAGATCACTGAAAAATTCCAAGTTTAAGTGATGGCTAAGATTTGGACAGGAACCTATGATACCAGACAAAAATGGGTACAGTTGGTGACTGGTTGGAGGAGTCACTTGTATTGTTTGAGTGACTTAAAAGATGTTCACTAGCATGTGATAAATTGTGATAAATAAAAGGATGCCCAAAAGGCACCTAGTCTGAAAGTTTTAAACTTAAGTCATGATGTGCCACTGTTCAAAAGTATAGTATACAGGAGATCAAGTTTCAGTACAGAGGTCAATACTAAAAATAAAGATCAGTTAGCGGTAAGCTGGCAAAAGATCTTGGTATTCTTTTTTGTTTATTTTGTTGAGCCACTACAATTTCTCAGTGAGTAATAGGTAGAAGATCATTTTATTATCATTTACATTAGGACTTATAGGGTGAATGAAGAGTGACAAATAATGACATTGAGACATGAGATAAAAACTAACGCTGTCCAGAGCAGACCAGGATATACAGACCCCAGTTTAGAAGCTCTATCTTACTTTCAAAGGATGGAAAGTTGTCATTTCTAATTTTTGTTACAGTGCTTGGTTTTTCAATAGGCATGAATTATTCAACTGGTGTCATTTTATTGCGATTTGAGTCTGAGTAGTTCCAGCATGATTAAAGGATCCAGTTTTAGATACCTAAAAACCAAGGGAAATGCTAACAAAATCGGAACTCCTCTTCATTACCTATGTTGATGCTCCCCTGGTGCTTATTAAGGTCAGGCAATTTTATATGGAGGGGAGATCAGGGCTACTCTGAGCTGGCATTGGAACCTCTGATGTAAGGTCTCAAAGAAGCCTTTTACCTAAAACTCTGAAGATAGCAGATAGAATAAATTGTGGGGAACAGGAAGAGGAGGGGTACATAAATGACTCTGTGTGTGTGTGTGTGTGTGTGTGTGTGTGTGTGTGTACACTGCAGGGCACACACATGCTGGGAAAGGACAGAAAGGGAAAGACTTGTTTTACTCTGTAGCTACCATTTACTTTGGAGTTATGTTATTGCGTATGTAACATACCTGAGCCAGTTATGTCTGAGCCAACCAATGGGAAATGCTGTGGTTCTCAGGTTGAATAGGTATTTACACACAACTCAAAATGCTAAACAGAGTCACTATCTTCAGACTAGACATTGATTCTCTAGTTATGACAAAGGCAGGACGTCCTTCATCAAGGGAGGAAGTCCACTTGCCATGCTCAGTAAACAGAGGGACTGGACGCTCATTGAGTTTTTTATGCAATATGAATGCTTCACATTTCTACTGGTGCAGAGAGAAAGAAAACATGGCTGGGTATCATCCCGCAACTTGACCTTCAAAACAACCAGTTTTTCTCAGGTCATGCTTGTGTTGTTTCTAACCTTGGTTATTTTATGCTTCAACAAACACGTTTCAGTCATTTAGCTTTCAAAAAAACAAAAATCTGATTCTGCAAAGAAAACTTTCATGCACTTGGCCTTCAAAAAAAAAGATGAAAATATTATTGGTTTTGAGTAAGAAGATAAAAATTAATTTTTAAATTCTAGTAGCCAGAGAATGTTTCCTTATATTCTTTCTCCTTGTCTGAAGCACAGAGGCTGTTTGGAGAAATGGCTCCAGGTCCAGACAAGGACTTTATGGCATGCCTGCCTGCAATATCTTGTCCTACAAAAACACAACTCAAACTATCAGCATCAAAATGAGCAGCAATGAACTAAAATACATCAACATTATCTATCTATCTATCTATCTATCTATCTATCTATCTATCTATCTGTCTGATCTGTCTCTATCTATCTACCATCTATCTCCACTGATACAAACAAATACAAATCCATGAGTTCATGTTTTTTTATTTCTTATTTATTTATTTTTGGTACTGGAGTTTGAACTCAGGCCTCACGCTTGCTTGGCAGGCATGATCCACTCAGCCAGTCCAGGTAGTAATTCTTCAAAAGATTGGTAAATATAGGCAAAGAATCGAGTCTTATCTGGCCTTATCTGTAAAAGCCATAAATAGTTGATAGCCGATGAAAGCAAGTTTCTTATAGAAAGTCTAGTCAAATATTAAACTTAAATATAATCATCCTTCTAGAGATCTAACCACCAATTTAGACTACAGAAAAATACAACCAACTAAAATCCAGTCCAGGGGAAACTGTATGGGGTAAACTCGGGAAATAATCTTGTTTTGTCAACGGATAGATGAGAGAGAGAGAGAGAGAGAGAGAAAAGAAGGAGGAGAAGATGAACACTTATCTTTTAGCTCTGTAATCAATTCAGTCAGAATTATTTCTACCCAAATTATTTAGAGATAAGGGGGAATTTAGGTTAATAGATGAAGCAAAATTAGCCAAATGCTGACACTCCTTAAGGAGAATCACCAGTGTATGAGTCATTGTACCATTTTTTTTGCTTTTTTCTTAAAGTTCATAAAATAACTAATAATAAAAGCTCAGAGAACATTAAAATATTGGTAAAATGCTAAAAGACCTCATTAAAATAGAGATAATTTTCCCTCAAATATAAAAATACTGTAGGTGAGAGTTCAGATGCAAGGATCCAACATCATGGAAATGAGCAGATGCTAGGAATTTCATGAGAAAATCCTCTCTGTGCTTGATCAGATTAATAAGATGTAAGTGACTAACGAGGTGTTTAATGATACCATCCATTTCTGCTTAGTGATAGAATAGTTATATAATATGAATATGAAAAAACACAAGTGGACCATCATAAATACTAAAATGAATAGTTCAATGTTTTCTAGTATATCTCTAGCTGCTCTGACCCCCGCCAACCCGCTCCTAAGCCTGTCACAAACTTGTGGGTTTTGACAGGCAAATCACAAATAGGACAGGTGTCTTTGTTAGCTCTGTAGGTAAATTCTGGCACCTGCCTAGACACCAGCTGTGTGCTAATTAGTCTTGGGATGGCCTACATCACCAACTATTGCAAGGCTGGAAATGTGCCGTAAGCCTCCAGAGGAAAGTGTCAGTATACTGGCTGACAGATGCCCCTGGAGAGACCAGACCTTATCCTGACTGCCTCTATGTTGAGTTCTTGCCAGGTACAAAATAAGAGCTGGATGCATGTCCATAAGCCTGTGAATCAGTTTGGGGAATGAGGGTAGGGGGTACAGAACCAGAAGTCCAGTGATACTGACACAGACCGTGTCCAGTGTCTGGTCAGATGGCTTGGTGCTACCTTTTGATTAAGTACTAGTAACAACACACCCATGACATTTGAACCCTGCTCTCCAACAGACTTCAACAGTTTACTTGTGTGTCTTTCCATTCAGCCCTTCAATTATATTCATGCAGCAAAAATAATGAAATCAATGCACTGACTAGAAGTCCTAACAGATGAATCAGATTATTGCATGACCAATCTGGACTGGAAAGGAGGCCCAAGAACTCTCTAAATAGATTGAGCACGCTGTAGCAAATTCAGCTGTAATGAAGACTTCCTCTCTGGACATGGATTTATTTTAGGTCCACAATGTATTCAATAATCACAAAGCAGATATACAATTAAATGCCCAATTACTGCTTCTTTCAGCAAATCCGATAACATGGATGGATTTTATTAAGAAAATGAAAAGAAAACCTACCTGAAGACTGCAAGGGTCAGAGACCAGAGCACTAATGGTTTTCTCAGTTCAAACTTCGCCCGTTTGTTCATTAGGTGCCGACCACCAAATATAAAGGCAGCGTACAGTGCAGAAAACAGGAATGATTTCTTCCTATAATCACACAAATGAAACCTTATGAAATAAAATCCTGAAGCAATTGCTTTTATTTATTAGGAAACATCAACTTTAACACCAGTTTCCCTTCTACAAACACTAAAAATAAAACAATTTTAGTTTCATGTTCTCTTGACTGGAGGTCATAGAACCCCTCGTGGACATGGTGCACTGCTAGACTTCCCTTGATAGATCCCTCATCTGACAGACTGGCCAACAGAGCAAGTTATCATGTCATCAAAGATTTTCTTTTGGGGCCCTATAACTAAAAATTTCAACAACACAGCACTGAGGTATGAAAAGGAAACTTTTCCACTGAAAGAACTCATTTTGTTCTTTTGAATTTGTTGGGCCAGTATGATTTTTAAATTTTGAATTTTTAAATCAAATTGTTTTTATTGGAAATATTTGCTTTAAAAACAGGTGTGTATTGGGACAAGAAAGACATTTAAAAACTTCATCTTCCTAGTAGAATAATGGTACTGAAAAATAACCCTGGTGTAATAATTGATGATTTAAAACTCAAAAATATGTTATGACATGCCTCCCTCAACATGAATTCTTGAAATCCTCTCCAAAGAAGGAAGGTATTAAATTTCAATATTATCATTAATAGAAAGGCTTAATTGTCAGATATACAATGTAACAGGAAGAACACAAAACTATCTATGCTACAATTGCCAAAAAATTTGAACTTAAATTTAACCTAATTTCTGATCTAACGACCTACTTAGAGAAAACACAGCAGATAAATCTAAACTGCTCTCCAGGTTCCTATGAGCTGATTTGTTACTCTACTAAGTAAAAGCGAACAAGAATATTGATAAGGCCAAATATACATATGTAGAAAAAAACCCCAACAAGCTTCTATAGTAGTGTGATTCAACAGAAAGGAACACCAGTCTTATAATTTAAACATTCAAGCATACTTTCTGAGATGGCCATGTATTCCCTATTCAGTTAGACCAACAGGGCAAGGGTTGAAACATAAGTCAGAAGACATAACACAAAAGCAAAATGTGTTAACATAAAAAGTATTATTTGCAAAATGCTTCATGTTTTGTTTCCCTAACTGCTGGCATATATTGCTGACTCACAAGCAGTCCTATTTCCATGAACACAAGTGACCTACTTGGTGAACACAACCTTGTAAAAGAATGATTCCAGTAATCAACCTGTAAATAAATGCTGAATACATTATTAAGTAGGAAATTATGGGAAACTCTTCTCTGGGCACACGAGACCTGGCATACAATAGTGCTTCACAAATATTTGTTGAACAAACAGGGTCTTGTGCTATCAAAGTGTCTGAAGGGGGAACATTATTTCACCTCTGTGACAGCAGGGGCTCAGCTGAGTGAGCAGTTAGTGACACTGGAAGAACGTGTACTTGCCCAGTAATGTACTTAGAACAACTAAAGAATAAAATATTCAGAAAAACACTATGCCATTTTCTTCTTCTAGAAAGAAAGACTATTTCAATGCAAAGGGAAATGGAAAAGTGAGATGATTTTATGGAAACTAACAATCAAGTCTTTCAGGAAGAACAACTTTTGGCTATAAATACATACTTGGCTTTATTTTTTCCTATGAAATCTGCAAGGGCATGATATTAAGTTACTTAAAAGAATCACTATCTCTGTACTCATACAAAATATATGTTAAATATATATAACATATATATAACATATATATATTAAATATATATAACATATATATATATATATATAAAGCTCAGAGATAAGTAAGAACTCACTAAAACATAAAAGCTATTAAGCTGATTTAAGCAATGTAAACCATAAAGGTGACAAGTGACTATAATCACAGGGTTCTGACTTAATGAGCAATTCCCTATGGGTAGCCATCCTGCTGTAAGACTTTATCATTTAATCCTCCTAATCACCTCATCTTGCAGGTGAAGTATAATCTTCATTTTATAGATTAAGAAACAGGATTAGAGGACTATAGGTATAGCTTAAGTGGTAGAGCGCCTGCATTACAAGCTCAAAGCCCTGGGTTCAAACCCCAGTCCCATCAAAAAGAAAAAGAAAGAAAACGGTTCAGATGTTAAGTAGCCCCAGATTTGCCTGCTTTTCTATGGTAAACTTTCAGGAGAAAAAGGGACAACTTGGTGTGTTATCTTCTAAGGATTGCTTCATTCTCTTCTGAATTACATCATCCCTATTCAAATGTGAAAAGACCACTAATCTCCCCCAACTTCAGGTTCCAACTGTCCTAGTTCCCAGGCCTGGAACACTTGCATTCAAACCCTCTTCACTTCTTTGAGAACACTGAACACCTGTCCTTATAATTGCTTATTATTATTTCTCTTGCTCCCTGAGTATAATTCAGATCTAGTTATGGTTGTATTTGTTGTATGACTTGCAATTATGCACCATCCAAGTTAAATGAATGCCCTTATATGCTCTTGACATTCTAGCCTAAGGGAAACTGTGCCCCATGAATCAACAGAAGAATAAAAACTTCCCTGCTTTTTCTCTAATTTCTTATTTCTGGAATGAGAATTAGTCCTAATGTACTAACTTTCCTGTAAAACCCACTCTCTTTTCTATGTGTTTTGAAAACTCTTTAAGGATGGGATATAGCTCAGTGGTACAGCACTTGCCTAGCACGTGCAAGGACCCCCAGTTCAATCCCCAACACCCCCAAAAAACAAAATGCTGTTTAAGAGCCATCCATTCAATAACTAGGGCAAACAATACAAACAGTGACACAGGATTTGAGAATTACAAAGAACCTTAGAGGCAGACCCCAAGACCCTCATCTTACAGAGGACTGAATGGGGAGCGTGAGGACGTTGGTCACTCATGGTCACACTGTTGGAAGGTGTACATTGGTCAAGACCACCCAAAATGGTCATGGCTCTGAACAAGCAGGTGGGCAAGCAGAAACTAATTGTATAGGCTATATTTGGGTCCTAGGAAGGCAACAATTGAAATGATATTTGATTAAGTGCTATAATAAAAATAAGGTGCCTGTTGTATGTTACATAAACTTTCTACGGTGGTGAAATCCAAATAATGCTGTGAGTGAGTTGGAATTAAATTTAGGCTTCCTTGATAAGAGAAATTAACCTGAGGAAGTATTAACTCTTACCTCTTCAACTGTGTATTCAAAATGCATCATTTATGTTTGAAAGTTTGATTATTTTTTCTATTTTTGCTTAGAAGGTAAGATTTTCTTTAGCAAACTTGGCAGTTTAAGTGGATTAGAGCTATGTTCCTTTCTGGTATCTCTTTGGTAAAAGTTCAATTATAGTCATGATGAATGATGACTCCCTGAGAGCCTACTTAGTAGTTAATGTGGATAGATTATTTCCCTAATGCTTCAATGGTAATCCAATAATTTATCATATTGTGGCATTGTGAGCTGGGAATGATGGTGGTACCAAGCTTTTATTACCAGATAATGAGTAATTTCTAGAAGGCATGGTCTTGTCTTGCTTAATAAATTTCCAATGTTATCACACAGCTCAAGCCTTACCAAAAGTACTTAATAAGTACTTTTCAGGATAGTTATTCTGGATTTGATTACTAGGTAATCAACCAAATAAATGTAAATCAAATGGAACAGTAATGAGTTTTGGTTTCACTGGGCTTGTACCTAACTTTTTCTCTGTTACACTTTGGTCATTAATAATGAAGAAAAGCAAATAATAGAAATTAGTTCATAATTAATAAGAACAAACAGTGGCTTTATTCTTTATCCTTAGAGATCTGGATTTCTCTATTATACTACTTTGTTCAAAACATGCCTAAATATTTTTATAATTGTTACTAGAGTAAATGAGCAAGTACCAGCTTAGGGTCTGTAGTTACTGCTCTACCTGAACACCTCTGAAAGACTGTATAAATTCAAATGCATTGTTTTCTAAATTCATGGGATTCCCCTGAAGCCAGTAGTTAGCTTGAGTCTCCTCAGCACTCACATTTAGATCTCTGACAGCTATCTTGTACTTCAAGAGCCAAACAAGTTCATTCACTACTGAAGAAACTTGTAGTTCAACACAGGATAATTGCTAGTGAATACCTTGGGAAGATGGCCTAAATGATTTCCCAAGCCTTTCATGTTGTGTCTAAATTGCCTTGTTTATAGATACCATACCTGTGCAAAGCAAAAGGAGTTGTAGATATGACAATTAAGCTGCCAGGAAAAAAAGGAAAGTTGACCTGAAAGTATCTCCCACTTCTGTTGCTATAAACCTAGTGCAGTGATAGTTTTAATGGTCTAAGTCAGAGAGTCTGAAGCTAGGACAGAATACAAGATTTCTCCTCTACTTCATTTGCTGACAAACTGGGAAACAATTCATGGTTCAGAGTGATTTGTGGGACAAATCAACTGATTTGATTTGCCCCAGAGACTGAAGGAAGAAACACATTGCTTTTCAATGTGTGTCTATGGTGATTCTAAGTTGATAAGGATATAAAGAAAGGTTTTCCTGAGAAGGATCCTGACGGGGTGCTCTTGGGAATTCCAGCCAGGGCTGGATTCTGCCGGACTTTTGAAGATTACCTAAGACTTAGAACAGGCATTTTTCTATATTAAGAGTAACGAGGCCGGGCACCAGTGGCTCATCCCTATAATCCTAGCTACTCAGGAGGCAGAGATCAGGAAAATCGTGGTTTGAAGCCAGCCTGGGCAAATAGTTCGTGAGACTCTATCTTGAAAAAACCCATCACAAAAAAGGGCTGGTGGAGTTCAAATTGTAGGCTTTGAGTTCAAACTCCAGTACCCAGTACTGAGAAAAAAAAAAAGAGTAATGAGTATTTTTAAGCAAATTTTATTCTTAAATTAACTGTACTTAGAAATTAACTATATGCTCAGAAACTCTGACAAAGAATAGTTTTGTGAATAATGGAAATATATTCATAATTAACAGTGGCTTTAAAATTCTGAGACAAAGCCACATTTAAAGAAAAGGGTGTTATTCTAATCTGTTATGTTTTAACTCAGGAACCCAAATAATATGTGGATTT